GTATTAAAAAATGTAATATACTTTCTATCTTACAGGCCAGAAATCTAAGATTATTTATGTGACTTAAACTTGGAATGGGTCTTGTATTTTTCTTTCAGGAATTTAATCCAAAACGCTCTTGAAACAAAGTCTGGTACACCTGGGAATTCAGATTGCCCTAGAACTCTGCTGTCAGGTGTACGGTAGCCATAAGCCATGAGTGGCTATTTAAATTTGAATTAATTAAAATTGAATAAAATTTAAAAGTCAGTTCTTGAGGCCACACTAGTGACATTTGAAGGATATAATAACCACATGTAGCTACTGTATTGGACAGCACAGATAAAGAACATTTTCATCATGGAAAGTTCTCTTGGATGGCACAGCCCTACAGGGTGTCCTTCTATGCTTATATTTACTCATGTGATTCCTTTCTCCTCTAACCTTCCGCACTCCCTTTCTACTTTGGGAAGGAAACCCAAAGCTTCATGGGGCTGCTTTATCATTAGCAAAAAGGATTGTGAACTCTTAACTTGAACCTATCATCAGAGACACTAGTGACTCCATGACTAAAAGCCTTCTAAGAATGAATGTTAGTGATATGTGAAGAAACTCATGCATGATATTAGAAGCAAAAACAGAAGAAAAATATATAAAACATTTCAGTTTTGTGAGTATATAGCTGGCCATTTCTGAATTGTGGAAATAAAAATAATTTTTGCCTTCTTTGTTTATACTGAGTCTGTGTTTTCTAGTTTCTAATTAGCCTCAAGTATGTTTCTAATTAGAAAAACAAGTTTGTTTTTAGAAGAAAAACTTGCCAAAACTGAGAGGCAGAAGAATGATTCTCTTTGACCTTTGGGAGCTGCAGTTTAGGTAGAATACATTTATCTGCAAGTTCCTCCCCTCCTCCATTCTTGAAGGCAAAATAACTTTTAAAGTAGAGGGGCAATTCTATAATTAAATGTATAATATCAACTAACATTTATTGCCAATTTATATTTATGTGCATGCTCTTATGCTATTTATAAATGCCTGTGTTCTGACTCAAGCTACCTTATCAATCCTCAGAACAAGGATGTCATCTCCCATGTCTTTGGTCTCGGCAATACCCTACCCAGCACTTGATAGCCACTACTCACAGACAGATTGGCTGACCTTGCCACCACTCTCAGGTTTTATGCCCACAGAATGTGTTAACATCTTGCCTCATTTTGCTTTGGGTCCGAGAAGTAGTGTTCTTTCCAAATTTGCTACATGAAATCCAACCGCTGGATTACAGGAGCCATTCATCAGAAAATGAGTTGGACCTTCTCTGGGTTTGTGTGTGTGGCAAGACCCTAATGGAATTTTTTAAAAATTTGTTAGTTTTGTGGAAATAGGGCTGGGAAGAGAATATGTGAAAACTCTTTGAGTGACCACAATCATCCACACCAGTGTATTTGGCATCTCTAGTAACTGGCTACTTGGAGGGAGAGATTTAATAAAGAGGATTTTCTTTTCTTGAGTTGGCTGTTAGAGTGATAAAACATGCTTGTGGGGCCATTCTGGTTTTGACAGTTTCCTGTGACAGCCAAGACACCCACAGGCAGGAATTAGAGTCTGCTCTGCACTCTTCACTCAGATCCAGACTAGGATATGAAGCCCAGAATGTTGGGTTTGATATTTAACTTTCCCAGGTATATTTTCCCACGTCACAGACCTTTTATACTCATGTATATCACAACACTTGATTGTAGACAGAAGCATGTGAGACACTTCTGTTCCTTCTTAGAAATGGAAGAAAAGATAGGAAAGGGAGAATAAATTGGTTTTCACGAAAGGCCAAAGTCTCTACCATTGCCCCTGAATGATTGATGTCCCTATTTGTGAAGTTCTGGGAGTTTAGTGAAAAAATACCTTTTTTTTTCTTAGAAGGGTAATATACTGAGTAATGCTACCAGGAAATTTATGGGTGACACATATGCAAGCTCTGCTCTCATAAGGGTATAGAAAGAAAGATACTGTTTATTTTGCTCAGGAAACATTACATTCTAGTAGACCAATCATGATGGTTTATGCTAACATTTTCCTCCTGATGGGTATGCCATGTTTGCATGTGCCTGGCCTCCAGGTACCAAAGTCAAGATCATCCTAAGGACGTACCCAAACCACACATAGCAGGTTCCTGCAAACCACTCAGCCATGTTGCTCTTTTGAGCCCCCAATGGGGTGAATGAAGAAATTAGTATGTGTGTCAATTAGTGCAGGATTGAGGAGCCATGAGCAAGAAGAGGTATACAGCTCAGGTGTTCAAAAGGCCAAAAATATTGTAGAAGATTCCACCTGGGAACAGGGGGTATGCCACGTACCTGCTGTTTTGTCCTTTCTTACATTGGTTATTGTTAAAATTTCCAAAAAGAACCAAGAAGTTATTTATTTCCCTTAATAAACTTTTAAGAACTACATTGTCATTGTGAAATAATTATATCTTTTATTTAGCAAACATATATACTATATAATTTATATTGTTAAATTATATAAATGCTAATTATAAAATTACATTGTATAATATGTAAATATTAATTTTTATAACCCAGTATGATGTAATAACTATTATTAACCTCATTTGACAAGTTGGAAAACTGAGACACCAAGAAGCTAAGTAATTTCCTAGTTGACCTAGGATGTGAAGGCCAGGAGGTCTGCCTCCGGAGTGCTTGCTCTTCACCATTGCTAAAATTCAGAAAAAATGTAAAGGCGAAGAAAAATCCGAAAAGACAACTCTAGATGTGGTAACTTGCCACCTTTATTCTGTAACGTAGACATCCGTTTAATGGATCCTAGGCTTTGTATTCAATTTTATGTCTTGCTTTTTGAAAAATGAATCTTAATTTTTTGATCACTAGCACTGCAATAACTGTCCCTGTGCAGAATTTCTTAATGTTCTTCATAATATATTTTCAGGACACTTCCTCAGAGGTGAATTTCCTTAATCCAATAGCCTGAACACTTTTAGGATTCTACATACTGGTCATCAAACTGTTTTCCAAAAGGCTTGTCCTCTCTTGCAGTGTCTACAATACTACATAGAAATGCCTTCATCATTCACACTTCAGCATTAAGAATGATTTTTAGAAATCTTTGTCAATGTCGTAGGTAGAATGTAACATTTAACCGTTGTTTTCATTTGTGTGCTTGAGAGTTTACAGTTTGCTCATATTGTATGATTAATTATGAGTATTTGAGTGGTCTGTTTGGGTCTTTCACCAACCTGTCCATTAAGAACCATGCCTTTGGGGACCAAAAGGAAAAGAGACAATAGTTTTTCATTCTTCCTCCTTCTGGCTTGAAATGGAATTTCCTTAGGCATTTTCTTAGTCTATACTAACAACAAGCAGTTAATCTTCTTCCAAATGTTATGTGGATTTTTCTGTTGATTCTATATAAAGTGCACTCTAGTCTGCTTACAAAAGATATTATTTTGTTTTCTACTATGAATATGCCCTGTTCATAAATCTGCATTTGATCTGTCTTGGATAGTACACTCCTAGAGGGTTACTAGTGTATTTATGGACAGTTAAGCACAAATTCTTGGCAATATTCATAACCATAGATTAGGCATTCCAGTGTCCCAGCCCAGGGTGATCTGAATGGTTCCACAGGCTACACTGTGGGTCCTAATGAGAAGTAAGAAGGGTTGAGAGCATAGTAGATTGTATGTATCAGTTCACTCTGTTTTTACTTAAAGAGAACTAAGAAGAAACTCAAATAGCACCTCTCTATTCTTTGGATAGGCAGTTCATTTCTTTATTAAGGAATGAAGCCTTCCCATCTCAAGAGGCAGTTCTAGTAGAGGAAGTCACACAGGATTACGGGTCCAAAGTCCTTGGGTTTGTTCTGTATTCTCCATTATTTAGTGTTTGTGGAAGAAATCTTGGGGTACTTTACTAATCCCTTTTTTCCATAAAAAACAGAATAGTGATATCAATAATTACTGACATTTATAAAGTACTTTAAAACATTACAGATGGACTTCCTTATCCAGTGACTCACTGAATCTTCACAATAGCCCTGTGAAGTAGACAATGACATTCACATTTTACAGTTGAGGAAACAGACACAATGAAATGTAGAGAGTTAGCAGCAGAGCCACAACTCTCCTTCCAATAACGTATGGAACTAAGATTTCATTATTACATTGTTTTCCTGGAGCATAATATGCTTTTAAAAAAATCTATTGACTTAAATTTCCTGTGAGGTAAGGAGAAAGAAGAAAACGCCATCATGAAAGGAGTGGAGCATCATAGAAAAGACCTCACAGGACCCCAAAGAAAACTGCAGTGAAAGGAATAGATGAAATAAGATTATCAAAACGTTGATGAGTCTTTTCAAATATTACTCTTGTCTCATATTTTTCCTTCTTTGGAGTTTTGTTTTTATCTTCTAACATTTTTATAAGATTCACTCCTAGTTTTTCTATTTACTGCAAAGATCAGTGATAGAAAAGTAAATCATAGTACATCCAACTATGAAATACTGTCTAGTCAGGATAATATGATCTTAAATGTGTATGAATTTCTCTATTGGAAAGACAGATAGGTGGATACGTTTTTAGGTGGCCCTTGTTAAGAACATTCTGCAGGTTTTTAACTAGTATGAAAACAGAAGAAAATATAGGATAAGGAAGTTAGAGAAGATGCATTCAAAATCCAGTGGGAGACTCAGGGGTAGGAATGTCCCCTGAAGGTCTGGCTTTCAATGTCCAGGACTCTTTGGAGTCTAGGGAAGGTAGGAAGCCTTCCCACTTGAGATACTAAAGCACATAATAAAAATGTTACATGTTAACAAGCGTGGAAATTCCTCTAAGATAGAAGAGCTTCAGCCAATAATACATTCCAAATGTTTGCTTGGAAGATTTTGCAGGTGTCCTTAAGAGCTAAAGGCATTGGTCATATGAAGCCAGGCTGAGGTTATGGCTGGGTTGGAATGATCTGTGGAACTTGTGCCCAAAGGAGCTTAATGCTATGCTTGTGTTTCAGGATTTTATGGGCAGCTGCAGACGTTCTGCCCCCCACATTACCCCGATTCCCAGAGAACTGTGCCACCTGTCAGCTCCTGCAGTGTGGTGCCTTCCTTTGAGGACTGCCTGGTCCCTACATCCGTGGGCCAGACCGGTTTCGATGTTTTCCACAGAGCCTTCTCGACTCACTCGGGCATTACAGGTGTGTTGGGTGTCTGTGACTTAGAAATTCCTGTCAACTGACAGGAGAGACCAGGTGGGCTGCCTGTGACCGACCTGGGCTAGACTTGACCAAGCACATGACAGCATGATTCTGCAGAATGACCCCTGAAATGTCTCTCCTCTTCACCGTCCTCTCCAGCCCTCCTTCAGCCCCTCTTCCACCGCCCTGGTTCAGGAGCCATCATATCTCTCCCAGACTATGGCCATAACCTTCCAGTAAGTCTCCCTGACCTGATTCCTCATCTTTACCATTCTGCCCTCCATAGTACTATGAACATTGCCTCCCCAAAATGAAAGAATAAAATATGCCACTTTCCTGTTCAAATAGATTAGTTTTCAATCACCTAGAGAATAAATTCAACTCTCCAGCATGATATTCAGAGCCCTCATGAGTTAGGCCTGGTTCAGCTCTCCACACCTACCCATGCACATTTGTCCCTACATGCTCTTCACCTGAGCTTTGCCAGCACCCCTGACCCCACATGCCTTTCCTTCTGTCTTTGTTCTGTTTCCTCCTTCTGGAATGTTCTTTCCCAATTTCTCCATCTGTGATAATTCCATTCTCTTTTACAACTCAACTTTAACATCACCTCCTTTTGAGGCAACCCCCAGCCTTCCCTAGAACACTTTTCTTTTACTTCGACTTAGCCTGTCTTTTGTGCAGTCATATTTTAGCAGCTGCCTGTAACTCAGCCTCCTCCCTCACTAAGGTCGCTGAGAACAGAGACTCGCCATAGGGCCCAGGCTGGTTGTGGTTGCCTCCTTAGCCCCCAGTTTTCACTTGGTGGCTGCATTACTGTAGTGCACCTTTAGTGGGTGTGGCATGGGAAGGAGTTACTGACTTACTGTGTTCTTTCTCTTCCAGTGTATGATTTACCTTCGAGTTCCTCAAGCCTCTTTGGGGAGACTCTCCGCAGTGGGGCTGAAGATGCCACCTTCTTGCAGATCAGTGCTGTGGACCGCTGTCCCAGCCAGCTCTCCTCTGTCTACACCGAAGGCTAATAGCTCTCTTGGCCACTCCTGCACACCCAGGACCCTGATGTTGCTTGCTACCTTTTGTTTTCATACTCTCAGAGACTGCATGAGAAAGGATGTGAGCCCGATCTGTGGGACCTGCAGAGTCACTGATGTGTCTTTTTTTGGAAGGCAGGACTGAATGACAGACCTAGCTTTGCAGGAATCATTGCAGTTGTTCCTTTTTATCTCTGGGTTTGCTGGACTAGGTGACAGGCAGGATTGTCTTTTCAAAGGGAATTTAGAGCCTCACTCTATTGGATACATGTTACTTCCTGGCTGTCAACCCTTAAAGGACACTAATGAAATTATGTGCATGTGAAAATGTAGTTTGGGGATGACCCTGTCTGAAAACTCCAAATAGGAAAAAAGAACCCAATTACCAGTGACCTGCCTCACCTAATCTTCACCCTCACTGCTTCTGATATAAAGCCAGGAACAACAAGGGAAATCCATGTCCAAAGCGCAGAGTGGTCTCAACTCCTAGAAACTCCCTGCGTTTCCTTTTCCTCTTAGCTGCATGCTAACCAGTTCCTTCTCAGTGTTTCTTTAATAGCAAAATAAGGTTTTATATGCCAGCAGCCTATCTTTGTTTTTGCATTTTAAAGACTTGTTATTTATACCTGCTCTAAAAGGAAAAAATATGTAAAGGTCTCTTCTTTGGATGGAAATCATTATTGTTGTAATCACCCCAGCTATAGACATTTTGCACAGCTGTGGTTCTGCCCCCCCCCACCCCTGGCTTGTTATTTTGCAGTTAGCAAAGGCTACCTGAGGGAAATGGAGTGGGCATCTCCTGCACCACCAGTGCTGTAGCAGGAACCTTCCTGGTTTGACTGTTTAGTGACTCCACCTCAAAGACTTTCTTCCAATAAAAACGTTGTTTGACTGGTTTACCCATTGCCTCCACTCTGGTGCTGTGCCCAGAGAAGTGCCAGATGTGAGAACTGGACAGACTGAGTCCTGTACCGGGTTCCCATAGAATACCAAACTAGTGATGCTTGACTTCCAGTGCACAGATTTTACTAACATTTTTCAGGATATCCACTCATCTGTCTGTCTTGTTCCTATACTTCTCTCCCCCATCTTTTTGCATCCCTCTTACCCTCTTCCTGACTGTGGTTCAGCTATGCCCACCACAGCTCTTGCCTGATCATCTTGGGAAGGTAGAGGTGACAGTTCTTAAAGTCTGCAGAAAGAGGCAATTCCTTTTCTGAGTTCTAGGATTGAAGGCCTGGAATTTTCACAGAGCACTTGGTTGAAAATATCAAGCCTAAATAGGAAGTCATTTTCTGTGACGTCTTTACATAGCTATTACAGATCCCGAGTCCTAGGGCATCAGCTATAAAAACTGGCCAATCACAAAGACACAGTAAGTTCTGACATTCTGGTACTATCATATTTCAAGTATTTTTTCTCACTTTTTAAAATGTTTTTCTGAGCAAAAGTGAAACAATGCCATTTGTCAAACAGATCACTTACAATCTTCAACAAGACAACTAAAACAGCTTGGTGTTAGATGGGATTCTGTGACAGTTTGTATACTAAGAGGTCCTTCCCGTCTGGCTCTACGATCCCACAATTGGAAGTATTCTTCCTGATTTCCTGATTCCAGAGTTCATTCCAACGTGTAGTAGAATGAGGTGAATGAAGAACCAAGTGTGGTTTCCGTTTTCCCAGTGCACTTGGTCAGTCTAGTTCCTCACAGTAGTGGGCGGTGTTCTAAGAAAAGCTTTCATATAGACATCTAAGTCTGCGAAAGAGATAAGTTCGCCTCTTTACAAAAACCTGCTCTGCTTTACAAAAGGACACACATCAGGCTTCCTTTACAAGTGAACTCCAAGGCTGCATGTAAAGTACCACCCTTCTTGGAGATTTCATGGGTCATGTCACTTGGCCTAAGCAAGTGACCTAGCATATGCACACTCACAGTTGGTAGCATCCCTCATGTGTCCTTTGTCACACTCTGGAAAGAAAGAAAAACTCTGCTATCTTCAGAGAGATCATCTATTCATACTTAGATATGGAAGCCTTTACAAGGAACTCAAAATACATTTCATTTGTACAATGAGAAAAAAGATGAAGGCAAGGTTGTGATTGCAGTTAACATTGTCAGCCCTGCCTTTTGGCTTTATGTAATTTAAAGTAAAAGGGGGACGGAGGACAAAACAGAAGCTCAACTTTAGAAACCATGGACATCACCTGGGAGGAGCTGCTTAACCAGGCTCCTGTCTTCTGTGGCCTCTCACAGTAACCCTGCCCCTTTCTTACTTCACCTGGGCTGGAGGGACTCTAAAGAGAACCTGGGCAGTAGAGGCACCTGCAGCCCTCCTTCCTCAGCGGGAACTCAATGTGGAGTCCCCGAGGGACATTTGCCTCTCAGAGCACACAGGCAGCAGGACCCAGTGCAGCCCTGCTTCCTGACCATGGGCCTTTCCTGATAGCTGCAGGCGTGAGATTGTGGCCTCAGGATAGGACACATTTAGATGCCTTCCAGACTACACACACTATGCTTAGATTCTCTCCTGACCTTAAAATGTGTCCCTTGCTTACTTTCACGCTGCTGAAGATTTATATATATTTTCGTCATTATTTTTGCAGCAGTACAAGTGGAAACTTCAAGAAATCATTCCCTTTCATGTCCCAGTCTTTTTAAGTCTTGATATGTAACCATTTTCATAAACATACAGAGATTGTCATTCTCCTTTAAAAAAACAAAAAACTAGTGCTTGTGAAAACACAGTGCAAAGACAATTATCCTATTGCATTAAAAAAAATCGGCCTGCCTGGAAACATTTCATTTGCTGTGTTGTCTTAATTCCCTAAAGAGACTGCATCAAAATGATCAAAATGCCAGTTTGTAATTTAGCCTCTGATCAGCTGTTAAATATTATTTAAATATTTACTGGTCCTGTGGGGTATCTCCTATTTCCCATGTCTCCCTCCAATTACATAAGCAATAATAAAAAATAAGGTCTTTAGTAGATCACAGCAGAGTTACCACTGATAACAGTGTTGGTTCTGTTCAGTTGTTTTTGAATTATCAGCTGTCAAGTACAGCAGCACCCTAAAACCAGTTTTGAACAAGGATAAATTCAACCCCCTCATTTGAGAACCCTGACTTTCCAATTGCCTTGAAGTATTGGGAATAGTGACTGTACATGTTCAGTTGAATTATCTGGTATTTTGACTATTTTGGCCATGCCATTTTATAGAAGCATTTTTAAATAGCACTTTTTGTTAGTGGTGTGGAATTTCTGCAGTTTTTTTTTTTTTTTTCAACAGATAAAGCAAAAAAAGCACTCATTGGCAAAATAGTGAGTGTAAAAAAGAAGAGATTTACTTTATGCAGGATGCTTTGCTGTCTGTACAATGTTGCTGACATAAAGCACTTTGGGGGGGGAGTGGAAATCTGTTTTCCATAAATCACACAGACTCTTGTACATAGTTATATACACTCACGTAGAGAAATGAACTGCATATATCATACTGGATATGGGGCCGATTTTACTCTAGAGGCACATCTGGTGCTTATTGTCATAAATCTTTTAAAGAATTAGGTACACTTTTTTCTATTAATATGTATAGTTTTGTGATTTGTCACAGTTATGTTTCATATAATCATAAGTTATTTTGTCTTGTTCATGAAGTCCTTTTTTTATGTAAAAAGTAAAATGAAGGGATTGTGCACTTGGTACAGAATAAAACTGGAAATAGAGGAGACGCCCTCCTGCCTAAAATCCTCCTCCAGCCTGTTGCTTGAAAACACGATGGCAACCATCATTGTTTGTTTGTTTGTTTTATTATTTTGTTTTGTTTTACCATCAGCCTCCTACATACTGGGAATGGTAATTATAATTAAAAGCAGATGTGGGGGAGGGAATGTTCAAGTCCAGCTTTAAAATGCCGCATTGCTTTGGGCCAGAGCTGCAGCCTGGATTTAATTATAGATATGAGGACGAAATGGCAGTAAAAATGAATGTCTCCCTGAATCCTTTACATGTTGGGAGTGTCCATAAATAAAACATGAAGTTTTATTTCATCAGATTTAATTAAAGCTTTTATACATGTTTTATTGGTTATTCTATTAATCCGCTTCACAAACTGGATAAATGTGTGCTAGGATTTGGGGTTTATTTGTGCCTTTCAAAGTAGCACTACATCATGCTTCAGAAATGCCTCTAGTGCTTGGTACTCCCGGTGCTGGGATTTCAGCAAGCTGACAGTTGGAGGAGGGGGTCTTTTCAGCCCTGTTTTCCCAAAACCATTCAGAGAAAGACACAAGCATCAATTTCCCATGAGCTGATGCCCTGATCTTTATAATCTGATTCCCTGGAGAAAGGGGTAGGTACTATCTCCCTGGTTTCCTCATCCTGTCCACTCTGCATGCTTTAGAATACCACCTGCCCCATTGGCTGTGATGAGTTTTCTTCCTCAGCTCCCAGCTGGGTGGGGCGGGGTGTGGGAGGATGGGGTTGGAATATTCTTCTCATACCTGGTTTACCTGCTAGCCAAGCATGTGAACCCAAAAGAGATCACATCTCAAGATCCATTCGTAGAAAGTTGACTGTTTCCTTACATTATTTTTTTTAAGATTTGAGAATTATTTTAAGAGAAGATATAAAGCAGAAGGGACGATGGTCCCATGAACCTTGTCTGGTCTCTCCGGGGTCAGAGAGCAGACACCATTAGGTTCGGGGTTGTGGAGATAGAAATGTTGCTAAATGATGACAAAGAGCTCCTCAGCTTCCTAAAAGGAGGTGGCTGGTGGGAATGTGATTTTTGTCCAGCCTCTCCCAAGGAAAGTTTGGCATTAAGTGGCGGAGTTGAAAGTCCACATATCCTAAAACCCAGCAATTCCACTACTTTCGAGAGACTCAAATCCATAATGGCTCAAGTATGAGATGTTCATGGCAATGTTATTCACAGTAGCCCCAAACAAGAAATGATCCAACTGTCCATTAACAGTAAAATGAAAAATGAAGCTTGCCTAAGGAACATAGTGAAATGCCATGGAAGTGACATTTGGAAAGGAAATGACAGAACGACAGCCATACACAACTCAGGGCTGAGTCTCACAAATTTGAGAGAGAGAAACAGATGCAAAGGCAAATATTCAGTGTTATTCTGTTTATGTATAGTTTGAAAACAGGCAAAACTCAGTAATAGAGTTTAAGTGGTAAAAGTAAAAAGAACAGCAAGGAAAATGTCAGAAAGGCTTATAGCTCTGGTGGAGGAGAAAGAACATATGGAAGACTTCTGGGGTGCTGATGGACGATGTTTTATTTCTTGACTCAAGTGTTAGCTTATACAAGTGTTTGATTTATGATTATTTAACTGTCATATATATCTTATAGTTTTTAGTTCCAATAATAGCAAGAGGCAATTCTTACATTTTCCTATTCGAGGGCACTGCAAACTTTTTCTGCCAAAGGCCAGATACTATACATCTAGGGGGCCATATGATCTCATGTCTATTACTCAACTTTGCCACTGTAGTTCAAAAACAGCCATAGATATTATGCAAACAAATGGATGTGGCTGTGTTCCAATAAAACTTTATTTACAAACACTAATTTGAATTCATCTAATCTTCAGATGTAAAATATTCTTTTGATTTTTTTCAATTCTATAAAACAGTAAAAAATTCTCAACAGGCTGTACAAAAACAAAACTAAGCTAAAAAGGCAGCAGGCAGGATTTGGCCAATGGGCCATAGTTGGCTGACCCTGGTCAATTGAAAGGGTATTCTCCAAGTCCTTCCCAGAAATATCCACTCAGAAAACTATGGATAGGAGCCCTCTGCTTATTCTTCTGCTATGTTGGGTCCTGGTTCTAGAGGAAATTCATGATTTCTATTGATTAAACTTTTCTTTGTTTAGATACTGGGTTCTGCTCCGTGGGATACAGGCTTAGAGCCTGAGTGCCATTCAACTTTGTCTCTGGATTTAAAGTTTTTATTAAACAGAACTGGGCATAGAGAAATCTGTGAGAATTGGAAAATGAGGACCCACTCTTTCCAAGCTAACCAAATATTTGCTGGATCTTGGCAGCCACCACCAACCTTTTTCCTCTGAAATGCTGAGAGGTTATAAGTAATGGGAGACTTCATTTTTCTAAGGCCACAGCTCTTGTGAGAAGCTGGAGCTGCCTCTCAAAACCTGCAGAGTTCTCACGGAAAAGAGACTCAGGGTATTATATTCAGTGACGCCTCTGACAAGTGACCATAGAAGAGTTAGAGGGCCCTGATGGTGTTAACAGTTTCCCCACTCCACAGGAAGGCAGCTAAACACCCTAAGCTCCTCCCTGGCCCCTGGTTTCCCATAACGCCTAGCTGCCTAATTCCCAAACTAGGGATTTGTCATCCCTGATGGCACGCCTGTTGGCTGCTCACACTTATGGGAGAGAATGAGACTGAATTCACATGGCATGAGTGTATGCCCCTCTTTGTGGATCTAGCCTGTGAAAACATTACTAGTTTCAAAAATATGGATTTAGCTTGAACTAAATCCTCTTCAGCAGGTCTCCCTGGTTGTTTCATGCACTTGAGTTTGTGTATTATATATGGTTCTATTATTAAAGCTGCCAAGAGTGTAGAATTTTTGGTAAAATATCCTAAATTATATGAAGTTTATGCCAAGAAAAAGCTTAGAGGACATCTTCCAAGCTCATCATTTTACAGAGGAGGAAACAGATGATTTCATTCATTCACTCATCATTCATTTGTTCCTTTGCTCACTTATTCATCATTCTTCATGCCTACTATGTGTTAAACAGGTAGAAGTGGCTCTTTTCCTCACAGAGCTAAAGGGAATCACCGGAATTATCTGCCTGAGAATATTCCCTGGGGCTTGTTAAAAATGCACATTCTGGAACTACTACTGAATGCACACCACAAAGTTACTGAGTTGGAACTTCAGTGAAATGGAGACATCTGCATTTTTAATAAACTCTCCGGGTGATTATTGATATGAACTAAAGTTGCAAACTAAAGCTGACCACCTTTGATATAGTGGGAATAGCAGGCAGTTTAACAGGACAACACTGTATAATAAGGGCTCAGCAGTAGAGGTGCTCTCAATTCCTATCTGGGGAGCTAGAAGAGCAGAGTCAGAGTTCCCTGAAGGAAGCAGGGAGCAAGGATGCCTGAGCTCGTCCTGAGAGGTAAGTAGAGCTTCAAGAAGCAAAGAAGCAGAGGAAAGGTATAACAGGCAGAGAACATAGCAGGTGCAGAGCTGCCAAGGGAAGGAAAGCCACCCAACAGGCCAGTTGGAGGGCGGGAAGTAGTCCCATCTCTGTGCTCTGAGTAATACTTCCACGACCCACTAGCCCTAGATCACTTCCTGTGTAGGCCTGCCACTCAAAGCATTTTTTCCCAAATGAGCAGGGGGCTCATACATTACCAGTTACTCTACACAAAGGGTTTCACAGTCACATTAATTTGGGAAATGGCAGGTTAAAGTTACATAGGTGTCTTTGCTTCAGGACCTCTCAGATCCTTTACTTTGCCAATGTGCATTGTAACTTTCCAAGAGGGAGTCGGGATGCTGTCTGTTGACCAGGGAGCCCTATGTCCAAAAAGCACCTTGTTAGTAACATGGAAAGAGTTGAGTGATTCCTGAAAAAAGTTAAACATAATTACAATATGATTCAGCCGTTCCATTCTTAATTCTAAAGAATTGAAAGAAAGGGCTCTAATCCGAGTATAGCAGTGTTCCTAGGAGCATTATTCACAATATCCAAAAGGTGGAAACAACTTAAACGTCCAAGAGCAGATGAGTGGATACACAAAATATGGTCTGTACCCACAATGAAATAGTATTCAGCCTTTAAAAGGAGGGAAATCCTGATACATGCTAAAACATGGGTAAACCTCAAAGATAACTGTGCTGAAATAAGCCAGACACAGAAGAGATATTCAAAAGGACAAAGCATGATTCCTCTTACATGAGGTAACTAGGATAATCAAGTACATAGAGAGAGAAGAACAGTGATTAGCAGGGGCTGTGGGGAAAGAGGAATGGGAAATTGTTGCTGAAAATAGTTTGAGAAGATGAAAAAGTTCTGGAGATGGATAGTAGTAATGTTTGCACACAGAAAAATGAATATACTTAGAGCACTGAATTGTACTCTTCAAAATGGTTTAAATGGTAAATTTTATGGTATGTTTATTTTACCATAATTTTTTGAAAAGATAATACAGGCAAGAGTACCTAATAGGATGCCTGATACCCAGCAGACAATATTAAAAGTTTTAAAAAGCTATTCGTTAGGCCAGCAGTGCTCTTTGGATTGAGGATCCTCTTTGGGAAGATGGGAGTAGAGCCCATCTACTACTCTGGAGAGGATGGGAGTACAGGATGAGTCAGTATTTGCTCCTGATGGGTAAAATGGTGGCTGTAAACGGACCCTGGCTTCCTGAGAAAAAGAAAAAGCTGGGGAGATGGGTTTGGAAGAACTGCAGAAGGTGTTCTGATCATGGAACACTGTGCCTGATAGAAATTTTCAGGAATTGAGGAAGGGAAAGAGGATGGAAGGGGTATGGCAGAAGGAGGAGATAATCAAATAGGGGATGATGGAAGAACTACCTCAGACCCAGCTGAACCCAACATGAGCAAATGCCAAGATTAGTTTGAATTTCATTCATTCACTTAACAATTGTTTACTGAGCTCCACACCCAACCCTGTGTAATAACCATTCTAGGTGCTGAAGACTATTCAAAAACAACAACAAAAAAACATTATATTCTAGAGGATTGGCATTAGAGTTTTATTTTGGTTACCGGTGAAGTATGAGACTCCACAGAAGGTTAGGTTAGCCAGGAAGCAGATGCCGAGACAGAGCTGGGAGTGTAAAAGGTTCTGTGGAGAGTTACACGTGTGAAAGGAACCATGCAGAAGCTGGATTAGGCAGAGGGCACCATCAGACTGTGATGCCATCCAAACGGAGGCTTTGCCAGCCCATTGGGATGCTGTAGAGCAAAGATTGCTCTCAAGCAGTAGAAGAGTTCCATGTTGGGTAGAAATAGCTAGGCTATCATACCACTCCCTGCTGAAGCCCACCCTAAGAGTGTG